GCTTTACTACCTTAAGGGCACGAGGACTGTACCGTTCCAACTTTATAGCTTCTACTATATACTATTCAATAGTATATAGTAGAAGCTATAAAGTTGGAACAGTATAGTCCTCATGCCCTTAAAGTAGTACATGTTACTATTGCTAATCGTACAGAAGTTGCGTCCTCCAGGTGTCTTGAAGTCTTCTGGGCTGTTGTATACAGTTCAGGTCGTGAGGGCTTTGGGGCTTTAGGGATTTGAGGCTTTAGGGCTTTAGGTCTTCAGGCTTTAAGGGCTTTAGGTCTTCAAGGGGCTGGGGTCTAGGATTTCGGGTTTAGGGTTTCAGGTGTCAGGGGTTCGGGTTTAAAGATTCAGGGTTTGCGGTCCCCAGTCAAACACCGCCAGTGGATTCGACCCCTCTGTTCTGTAGGTCCACACAGTGAGCATGGAGGACACATCTTCGAGGCGATCGGAATTGAGATCGCGGCTGAATTATAAAAAAAATCCTCAGCCGATGCCACGGCTGGCAAAACCTCCAGCATAGCCGCCGAAAAGCTCGAAGACAGTTCCAGGACCGCTTCTCGGACTCATCGTCATGATATGAAAGCCTGAAAAAATTAGCAATACTCTTCCTTATGGTTCGGGGTTGTACTCATAGTATGATAAATGCCAAACACTATTCGAAGCCGAGCACGAGGAGCAAGGGCTCTCTGGAAGAGGTATCAAGTAGGCTTCAGGCTTCCTATGGTACCTAAAAGCTGGACGCTGACCCTAAACCCTAAACCCCCAACCCCGCAAAGCCCTCAAACCACCCTACAGAAACCGTACGAAACTCTTGTGAAGCCCCTGACTCCTTGCAGGCATAGAAACCCCTTCAATGTCCAAACTGCACCAAGGCTTTTTTTAAGGGCCTTTTTCGTCGCTTGCGCTCCAGCTCAGGAGAAGAAGAGTAGACGCTGGGAGCTTCTTAATCAGGTGCCTACCCTACCCTAAACCCTAACGGTTCAGAGTTTAGGGCTCAGGGTTGAGGGTTTAGGGTTTAGGGTTTAGGGTTCAGGGTTCAGGGTTTAGGGTTTAGGATTTAGGGCCTAAACCCTAAGCTCTAAACCCTAAGCCCTAAACCCACCCTGCAAAGCCCGTGAGGCCAAAAGCCCGGCACTTCCTTCTAATAGAGGGGCCTTTATAGTTAGAATTCAGGTTTTGGTGTACAGTATGCTATACCGTAGGGGCCTTAATAATTAGAATAGGGTTTTGGGGTATATTATACTACAATTTTAATAAGGAACCCCCGAAATAGTATAGGCTATTACTAAAGCCCTGGACCTTTCGACACTCCAACCCCGAAACGCGCGGAACCCGACTCTTCCTAGAACACCAACTATACAGCCCTTAACCCCAGACCCTCTTTAGGTTCAGGGTTTAGGGTTAGGCCACCCTAAACCCTAAACCCTGAAACCTAAACCCTAAACCCTAAACCCTACGAACCCTAAACCCTAAACCCTAAACCCTACGAACCCTAAACCCTGACACCAGAAACCTAAACCCTAAACCCTAAACCCTACGAACCCTACGAACCCTAACCCCTAAACCCTACGAACCCTAAACCATAAACCCTAAACCCTAAACCCTGAAACCTACGAACCCTAAACTCTAAACCCTAAACCCTGAAACCTACGAACCCTAAACCCTAAACCCTAAACCCTCCAAGCTCTGGCAGAAGCGCAACTTCCGCGTCTCGTCGCTTGCATTGCTCATCGCGCCGCGACTCGCCAGCGTTCCGCCGGACCTCGGTAGGGTTCAGGGTTTAGGGTTTAGGGTTTAGGGTTTAGGGTTTAGGGTTTAGGGTAGACGGCCGCCGGCACTTCTTTGTGAAGATCTCTTTTAAAGGGTTGAGGGCTTAGGGTTTAAGGTTTAGGGTGTGAAAGCTCTCTTTTAGAGGCTCTTGACAGGAACTTCATCATTATAGGGCCTCCATCATTACCAGTACTATTCTGGGGGTTCCTTATTATCATTATAGTACAACATACCCCCAAATACCTATTCTTATTTCTTCAGGCCCCATCATTATAGGGCATCGCAATTGGGGTTGAGGGTTTGGAGTTTGAGGTTCCCGGTTCATGCGCCATTTCTTTCAGAACTGGGCGCCGACGCAATGACTCAGAGCTTAGGGGCCTCAGGGCTTCGTGGCCTTTGGGCTTAGGGCTTCAGGGGTTTATGGCTTGGGGCTTAGGGGTTTAAGGTTTAGGGCTTCAGGGTTTCAGGGTTTAGGGCTTGAGGGGTTTAGGGTCTAGGGTTTAGCGCTTCGGGGTTTTAGGGTTTAGGGTTTATGGCTTCGGGTTTCAGGGATTTTGGGCCCATGGGTTTCGGATTTCGGGCTTAAGTGCTTTAGACTTACGGGATGCCCCGTCGGGAGCAATCGAATCCTCTTTAGGGTCTAGTGCTTAGGGCTTAGGGATTAGGGTTTAGGGTTTAGGGTTTCAGGGTTTCAGGGTTTTAGGGATTAGGGTTTAGGGGCCTCCTTTCTTTTGTAAGAAGCGCCCAGCCCCACAGATTCCGCCCTTGGGGATTTAAGGGAGCTTCAGAAAAGGACCTTTACGATTCGACGAGGCTTTTCTACAGTCGGGTTTAGGGTTTAGAGTAAGGTTTAGGGTTTAGCATTTCTGATAGCTCGACGGGGGGGGAACACTCTAGAGCCGGAGATCCCAATACGCCTGAATGTAACAAAAAAAGTGTACCTTAAATCATGAGATTAAGCCCCCAAAAAATTTTTAGGTATAGTATACTCCCTAATTGGCTATACTACGCCCCTTATAACTCTGAGGTACATTCCTAAATTAAGAGATGTTGGCTCTCTGGGGAGCCAGGTTTTGGTTGAAGGGCCCTCAACAGAGCGCGCTGCCATAAACCCTAAGGCCCTAGAGGCAACAAGTTATATACCGTTACGACGGTTACCGTTTAGGGTTTAGGGTTCGGATTTTGGGTTACCACGGTTACCGTTTCGGGTTTAGGGTTTAGGGTTTAGGGTGACCTATGTGTTTCGTTTTAGCGAATTATATTTCTCCGACAAGCCTCCGTTGTTCCTAGGCTTTGGATCTCAAAGTTTCAGGTTTAGGACCGTTTTCCCAAAACTTGAACTCACGAAACCTGAAAAACTACCGCAGTACCCCTCAAGACCTTGGGCATTTGCTAAGCCCTTAAACCTGAAGCAGGATCGAGGGCCCCGACGCTCCAGCGACGCTGCCGCCACCGATGGCATAGACGATGGACTCAGCAGCTGCACCCTAAACCCTAAACCCCTTGGCGGTTCGGTTTGGGCCTTTTGCCGTTTGCACTTGAACCCTCCAGTCTACAAACCCTATGCGGGCCTGAAAACTTAAAGTTTTAAGGCTTAAGCCTTATATATCATCAAACCCTAAACCCTAAACCCTAAGCCCTGAACCCCAAAACCTAAACCCCAAGCCCTAAACTCAAATCCTAAACCCTAAACCACGCACCTCTGTGCTTCGAAGCTCCGTCTGTCAAGTTTCAGTTTGATGAGTTTGGTGCGTAGGGGGTGAGATCGTGAATCTTTATTGAGCACAGACACAGAGAGAGAGAGAGAGAGGGGCAGAGAGAGAGAGAGAGACTTATTCACTTATTTATCTATCTATCTACCTACCTACCTACCTACTTATTTACTTTCTTTACTTTACACTGAAGCTGGGACACGGCATTCCATCCGAAGCCCCGTGCGGGGGACTTCTTGTTACTTCGAGGGTCACGGGAGTTACGAAGTAGGGTTATAAGTACATTAAGTAGGGTGGTCAGTAGATATAACCATGATTATAACTTATAACCCTACTTACTAGGTCCCCTGATACTCGAAGTGCAACATCAGCAAGCAGGATGACAGCAGAAGACCATCTAATGTAGGGGCCTTAATAATTAGAATAGGGTTTTGGGGTATAGTATACTCTAATTAGAATAAGGAACCCCCCAGACCCTATTCTAATTGGTAAGGCCCCTACATTTTGAGAACGGGACCCTTCAGGAGCTACGAAGAGGCTCAAATACTCAAGCACCAAAAGGCCCGAAGTTACCCATCGAATTCTGAACCTAAACCTAAACCCTAACTAAACCCCAAATCCAAACCAAAACCCCTAACCCCAAAGTCTAAGCCCTAAACCGAAACTACATCCTATGCCCGAACCTCACCCTATGCCCGAAGCTCTGAAAGCTGCTGCCGCCGAAGCTCCCTGCGAAGTTCTTCACCATGCTCCTCCCTGGACATAGCTGGTTCCCTGTTGGGGCTAAACTAAAGATGATCATTGTTAATCCTTATTGGGTTTCATAATAACAAAAATGTAGAACTGCATCCAACAAGGACCCAGATAAGCTGCTGGGGTTGAGGTGCAAGGACTATGGCTTTCGGGTTTGGGGTTTACTTGAGGCAGAAGGCTATAAGGGGCTTAGTGCCATTTTGTGGGGCCTGCCGTTGGTGTGCTGCTAGATGCTTCTAGGGCGGCAACTTCGAACAGCGCTTCAGGGCATCGTCTTAAGGGTCTGCGGTGCTAAACCACAAATTACCCTAAACTCTAGACCGGCCGAGTTTCAATTCTGTCGAACCCCTGATGCTACACTGCTTCAAATTTCCGAGGCCCAAACGATCAGGAATATTGCTCCGTTGGGCTGCTGTGTATACTTGAGGCCCCTCGAAATCCAGGGTTCAGGTTTTTGCCGAGAGTTTAGGCTATGGTCCAAGACCGTCTGCACATGGTTCAGGACAGAGGGCTTAGGGTCCATGTCTCGGAGTTCTGCGTTCGGGGTTCAGGTCTAAACAGAACATCTTCGTGAACTTGTAGTCGGGTTCCTGAAGAGATGCTCAGTCCACCCCTAAAATCTAAACTCTATACCCCTAAAACCCCAAACCCTAAACCCTAAACCCCTAAAACCACAAACCCTAAACCCTAAACCCTAAACCCAAGCTGATTCCTTGGGGGTTCCTTATCCACTCAGAATCGGCACAGCCTCAGCTTCTTGGCGCAGAGGAAGGTCAAGATGTCCGGGTAGCCTCCTGCCACCGCCGCACTCGGGATGATGGTAGCCTGGCGGATGCGAGGATTTGGTTAAAGGAAACTGCAGGTGGGGAGTTTAGGGTATATAGGGCTTCTATAAGGCTTCCATAAGGTATATAGACCTTCTATAAAGCTCCTATTACAGTAACTACCCACCTGAAAATGTCCTAGATTTGGGGGGTTCCTGGGTTGAGGGTTTCTTCTTAAAGGTGCAATGGGTTCGGGGTTTAGGGCTTTTCTTTGAAGTGCAATGGATTTAGGGTTTAGGGTTTAGGGTTTTTCTTTTAGAAGTGCAATGGATTTGGGGTTTAGGGTTTTTCTTTTAAGTGCACAGGATTTAGCGTTTAGAGTTCAGGGTTTAGGGTTTCTCCTTTAAGTGCAATGGATTCAGGGTTTAGAGTTTAGGGTTTAGGCATTTTCCCTTAGAAGTGCAATGGATTTGGGGTTTAGGGTTCAGGGGTTGAGAGCTTAAAGTTTAGGGTTCAGGGCTGAAGCTACAAGGATCATAACTACTCCATCAACAAGGAAAAATCCTGCGTCGACCTAGAAGCTCTAGACCCTATGCTGGCAAACCCTAGATGAACAAACCACAGGCCATAAGACCTGGTATTCAACACCCTAAACCCACAACCCCTAAACTCAACCCCCATACCCGGTTACCCTGAACCCTAAACCGTGAACCCTAAACCGTGAACCCTAAACCGTGAACCCTAAACCCTAAACCCTAAACCGCGAACCCTAAACCCTAAACCCTAAACCGTGAACCCTAAACCCTAAACCCTAAACCGCGAACCCTAAACCCTAAACCGTGAA